CTTCACACTTTCCCTTCTTCAGTGGAGAACCCCGGTCCATTTACCTGTAATATGCAAATGCGTGGATTAAGTGGAGTTCGTTCCCCTCCCGCGCCCAACCCAAGTCTGTGAGCCCAGGTTAAACCCCCAGTTTGGGGCGGATATGCTAACTCCATTTATCCATGCACCTCCCTTCATACATCATGCTTCAGCTGAGCTAGTTTCTAATGGAAATTCTGCATGTGGTAAGGAAGGGGGAGGAGCAAGATCTGGGCCTGAGTTCAGTACCAGTTCAGGTTCATGCGGACGTCAGCTTAATGTTGGCACGTCTGAATTCAGCCCAGCTCTGTTACTCCTCCATTGTGATCACGAAGTGACTTTTTAGTTGATTAAAGGCAGAAATCCTTCTTAGCCCATTGACTTTGTTGGATGTTGAAAGGTATAACTCTGCTTAGAATTGCACTGCAAAAGACTAAAAAAAGAGAACTACGATAAAATGATAAATAAAGATTCTTTATAAGTTATCCCTCTTATTCTATGGTCTTCTTCCAAAGAAGTCAAAGCGACTTAGTTATAGTTCCCAGGGAGCTGCTTATAGGGTCAGACTGAATTAGATTCAGCAGCAGAAATACATGATGTGCTTTTAGGGCATTCAGTTCCTCTACTGCCATTGTTTGCTTGGTGGTTCATGTGCTTTATGCTGTACTAATTAACGACATGATCTCATGGAGTTCTATAATAGGACTTATGCCTCATTTAGTGTATGGTAGAACAAGCGAGGATACAGAGGGCCTATTGATATAACTATCTTTGAGGCACGAAGGTTCCCATGTCCTTAAAAATGCTTATTTTCTGCTATTTCTCAGTTAAATTACAATTATGCCATTTGTGTCTGTGTTTTACTATATAATTTAGAGAAGCCCTTTTGTATTATTTAAAATGTATACTGTGGTAGAACCTACCGCACTGCAACTTTTACCTCAGAAGAGTTGGACAAGTCATCCCTTAAACCAGCATCTTAATTCTTCATGCTTTATAGTGAAACTGAGTAGCTTTTTATGGCAGGAATTTTTGGATATAAATAGGATACCATAAATGTCTTTATTTGTACGTACGTGTGGCGGGGGGGGGGGGGGGGGAGAAAGAAAGAATGAAATAGTATGAGAATATAGCTTTATGTAGAACAAATTATTAAGTCCATTAATCTTTCTGTGTTTTAGTTGCCTGGCTTGTTAACTAACAGGGCTAACAATAAAATTCTTTTCTGCTACACTTCTCTTGACTTAGTACTTTGAATATCATGCATCTCAGTTACTCTGAACCAGGCTATAGATTACATTGGAGATCCCTGATTGGATTTCCTGGTGTGGCTTTTTTAATTCTAATATGCAGTCATGGGGTCCAATTCAGAATGGGGCTGTGGCTCTATTCAAGGAAGGTTTAACTCTTCCTTCTGGTACCACTTTCCTCACTGAAACAAGACCTCCAGGTTGCAGTTAACTCCAGTATTTTCATAGCGAAAAGGCGCTGCGGGGGGGGGGTGAATCCTTCTGCACTTGGGGCAATTGCAGTTCTGGGGAGGGGTGAGATTTCAGCTCAAAGAACAGCACAGGTGTGCTAAACTCTCCTGTGTCCAGCAATCTAGGTTTAAAAGAAAAAAAGCACTTCAAGAAATATTGTTGGAAACTGCCAATGTAACATGAAGTTTGGCATTTTTTGAAGACAATGAGAAATCTGTATCTTTCTGTGTAAGAACATAGATAGGTTAAGCTTTACTGTTGTGTCAGTGTTATGTTTAACTGGTCGTTTCCTTTCTATAGTTGGAAGTTCTGCTGAGCGCATTTTCAAAAACCTGTTGGCTGAAAGAAATTGCAAACAGGAAAGCATGTGTGGGCATTCAGCCAGCTTCATATTAAGTTCTTTGAACTGTCCTCGAGATGAATGGTGTTTCTGTCTTAATAGTATTTTGTGGCTGGGAAGGGTTTGCTGCATAACTACGTGCACCCGACGTTCAAGTACATCAGTGGAGCGTGGGGTGGGAGGGAGGGGAGTGTGGATTCAGGCGTGTTGCACACAAGACTTTTTTAGCTTGCATTCCTCTGGGTTCAGTTGTGTCTTCAGTCTGGTTGATCGCCTTGTAACACTCCCCGCCCTCCAGTTTTCTTCCTAGTTGTGTTTAGAGAAACAACATTATACGTTATCCTGCTTTGAAGTGATATTGATGTGTCGCTTGACTGATCTCTAGGCAATTCAGAAAAAACCTGGTGCCCCATTAGAATAGGTCTGGAGACATTTTTTTAAAGAAACAAAGCCAAACACACAGCCTCTCTCAAAGAATGTTTTTCCTGATTATTAACGATAAGCAGACCTTGTAGGTAGGCAAGTCCCTTCTCCTACTAGAAAGAATGGAGAAATTCCTCAAGTTCTTGAATGATAGTGAGATGGTATCATGAAAACTCTTTTGGATACGTTGAATTTCCTTCGTATCCCACTGCTTAGTTGTTCAGACACCTTAAATAATGCCTTTCTTAGAAGGAAAACTTACAGAACAGTAACGGTCCAACTCCAAAAACTTCTTTGCTCATTAATAGTAGTAAGGCAGTGTAAGGTCCTAGAGAGCCCTACTCCTGCTTCCAGGCGCTGAAGCCGCAGCCACCGGGACCAGCCAGAAGCCTCAAGGGCTCTAGACCTTTTACCAGAGGCTTTCAGCTCCCCAGGTTCTCCTCTGAGGTTATCTGCATGCACTCAGTAAGTAACTCCAGACACTAGAAGGTAGCAAAACACTCCAATTTTAGTAAACTACTCAAGTTACAAAGAGTTTGTGCTGGGCAGGAGCCACTCTTAAGGCCCAAGCAATGGGAAATAAGAGAAAGAATAATACTGAACTACATCTGGCTAAAAGCTATCTTACTGTACATTAAAAGCTTGCTGGCTAGCTTGTCAGAGGCAGGTCCGTCGTGTGGTTCTTGCTCACAAAGTCCGTCCCATGTCAGACAGTCCATGTTGTGGGGGGACATCTTACCTGTTGCTAGAATAGTCATTCTCCCACTCCCCAGGCGAGGCAGGTTTTCAGATGTCCTTACCTCAGCCTGTGAACCCATTAGCCAATCCAGACATGCTTAGCTATTTGGCACTGGTAGGTTGAAACAACTTAGGGAGACTCCCAAGAACAGCTCTCTTAACAGCCAAAAGCCACAGGTGGGTGTAGTTAAAACAAGCAAGTTGCTTTTTGCAGGCCGGGCCAGGGGCCTGCCAAAAATATAGCCTAAGGAAAGTGATAAACCTAAACAATATAAAGGCTTAATGGTGGCTACTCCTTACAGGCAGCATGGTGGTGTAGTTCAGCTGCTAGGCAGCATGGTGCTCAGTCCAGCTGCTGCTAGGAAGACCCACGTTCTAATGCATATTTGACCGTGACACTCCGTGGGTGACCAGTCATTCTTTCTTGGCGTATCTTACCTCACATGGTTATTGTGAAGATAAAATAGAGGATGAAGAGAACCATTAAGTTGCCCTAACTTCCTTGGAGGAAGGGCAGGCTAAAAATGCAGTACATAAATACACCTTCTGGGGGGCATGTGGGACAGTGTGACTCTTTTGCTAAAGCATTTTAAGTTTAACACATATTTAAGTGTTAATACAAACATATTTGTAACCCCACACAAATAGCTAAACTCTTAAGTTAAGAGTATATTGTGCTTCAACCAAGGCTCAGTAGCTGAATACAGTTTAGGATGCTTTTGATATTATTTTATGGTGTGAAATTCTTCTGTCTCAAGAGAGCCGGCATGGTGTAGTGGTTAGGGTGGCAGATGAGGACCCAGAAGACCCAGGTTAGAATCACAGCTGTGCTATGGAAGCTTGCTGGGTGACCTTAGGCCAGTCACCCAGCGCTCTTAACCTAACCTACCTCAGAGGGTTTTATATCTTCAAATGTGTTGCGCATCTGCACTGTAGTGCGTGTTTGAATTTTTTGTGTCCCAGTTCCTTAGTATGGAAGTCTGTGGGTCATCCTCTGTGCGTCATTCCTGTTCTGGCCTACGTGTCACCAAAACGAGTGTGGGTATTTGTGTGTCTGTGTGTTGAGGTACTTGTAGCCAGAGGTCATCAGACTGATAACTTGGCAGTCCGTAAATGCAAACAGGATGAGGAAATCTGTTTCCTTCCTGTAGCTTTGAATCTGAGCAACGTACTGACACTTTATACCAAAAAAAATAAAAATCTTCAGACGGGCACATAAACTTACATGACTGGGGAGGTTTCATTCATGCAAGAAATCCCATCAAGCAAAAGTGAAAACTGTCTTCCTAAAGGCACGTTACAGTAAAAGGTGTGGAGTCTTTGCTTCCTTTATTTGAAATTAGTTTGGTGTTGGTTTTGCCACAGACCTGTTAACATGGTTCCCCAACAAGTAATGTTGTAGTGGCACCCAAACTCCGAAACTCTCTCCCCAGGGAGATCTGCCTGTCCCTTCTGTCGCCATCTTCTGCCAGCGGGTGAAGACTTCTTTGTTTCATTCGGCAGTTCCTTAGTGATCCATGGCCAGCTGGGGAAGACCCACCACAACAGTTGTCCGTGGCCCCAGCAGGCACTGTGCTCACCTGCCCTGCAAGCCACAAATTTGCAGCTTGTAGGGCAGGTGTGTGCGGTGTCCACTCTTGCCAAGTGTGGTGCCAAGTGGGGGCTGCCGGCTCCTGCCCCGCAAGCCGTGAGTTTGCAGGGCAGGCGTGGGGGGCGCCCGCTTCCCCCCCAACCATTTAAAGGGAAGGTTCCCTTTAAATCGTTGGGGGAAAGTGGGGGCGTGCACACAGGGCACTGCATCCCCAGCACAATGACATCATTCTGAACAACTTCACGTTGGGGACGGCCCCACCCCTTCCTGGAACGCCCCCCAAATCCCCCCACTGGGGAAAAGATGGGACCTGGCAACCCTAGAGTCAGCCCAGTCTAGTGTTTGGATGGGAGACCTGCAAGGAACACCAGGGTCGTGACACAGAGGCCGGCAATGGCAAATTGCCTCTGAACATCTCTTGCCTTGAAAACTCCTCCAGGGGCCTCTATTAGTCAGCTGTGACTTGACGGCACTTTCCACCACCCCCACACATGCCATGAGGTATGGAAGCGAGTCTTTGGATCACCTGTACCCTGCATCTGGAACACCTTGAGCCAGCCACGTGGACACCTCGTGTGTCTGATCAGTCTGCTTAATACTTTACTGGCTTAGACAAAGAAGAACGAAACATTTAACCATCTTTTCCCCAAAGGAACAAAACAAGTGACAATAGACTTCATGAGTGACCCCAGTTAATTTAATTCCACCTGTTCTGTTTTGATGCTCCAAATGTTTTGCAGTGTTTGGTCACTTTGTTCATACTCCATGAAACAAAGAGCTGCTTGCAGAAAAATCTACTCCATCCATATTCTTTGTGGTCTTAAAGGAAGGTGAAAAGGAAACAAGCTGTAAACTAGAAAAAAAACCTGCTGTTTAAAAATGCAGAGCACTTACTGAGTGTATTGCCATTGCTGTCTGTCTTCACATTCTCAAATTACCTGCTCAGCAGGTGCATACAGTGGCACACAAAATTTGAGCTATGTTTGTTAAATGACACTCTGCTTGTGTATATAAGGATAAAACTGGAAGAAATTCAGAAATACCTATTGAGTTGGATACCATGGGATCTGTTTTGCTAGTGGTGGTGCCAAAGCCCTGCTTGAATTGGGCGAAGGCTCATTATGTCCGAAGGCAGTGCCTCTGCCAGAAGAATGAATGTGCAGGATCCAATCCACCTTTTAAAAGAAATATTTTCAGTACAGAAGTTTGACCTAGATGTTAACTGATAGGTTCCTCCTGTAGCCATTTTTAATTGGTTTCATCCTCTTGAGAGACTCTCTTTTAATATTTCTGAAAGCTGGAAGCAGAGAACACGCCATTGATCTTAGCAGTTTACTGGATTTACTGTGCATAAGCACTTCCATTTTGAATTTCAAAAGTGTGAATTGGGACAGGAAAAGAAAGAAGCAGGAATTTCACTTTGTTAGTTGCCCTTCCCAACCATGCTCTGGTGGCATCTTTTTCGTATTTTTCTGTAGTACTGTCTCAAGAGGAGCAGGAGCTTGTCTCTCGAACAAACATCTCGTTTGCTGTATTAAAATTTCCCCCCAAACAGTCCTCCACTGTGTTTTATTACTGCTTATACCATGTGATTATCTCTGGTGTGTAACTGAATTGACTCACTCCGAAGGGTGGAGATTTGAAGCAGCTGCCTGAAAAACCCAGTTACACAGGAAAACAAGGAGTGGCCCACAATGTCAGATGTTTCGCTCCTTCCATTGTACATGTGGTCACTTGGAAAGAAGTGAGCTCACTCACAAGTGGAAGAGTCCTAAGGAGAAGGAGGCCAGCACAAAAAATGAATCAGCAATTCAGAGGCTTCTTGTTTACCTACAGAATTGCAAATATTTTAAATGCATTTTCCGTTGTGTAAAGTAGTCTTTTGTTAGCTCTTGACAGTGCATTTTGACAGAGATCTACTCCCTAGGAGTGGCCGTATGCATTGTATGCCTGTGGAGAAGCTCAGCTATAATCACGTATGGTTCTTAACTCTTCTGAGGTGGTTAAGATTGTCCAAAGTATTGTGGAGCTTGCAGAAACTGTGGGTGTCTGCTTTTTATCCAACTGTTCTTAGTCAAGATTCTTTTCAATGGGATGGAAGTTTAGTGCATGACATCAGTGAAATTTAGAACTGCCTAACTTTGGCCGGAATGTCACTCTCTTCCCATTCTCTCTTTAAAAAGAAAATAACTGTCGGCCTGCGTTCATTTGCTTTTACTTGTAAAGTCAGTCTCTTAGAGCGCATTTTTATGTAGAGTTGCCCGGTCTGTTGACTTCAATGGCCTTAGGCTGGAATAACACTGCATAGGCTCGCAGGGCAAATAAACCATTGTGACCAGATATATTTACCGTTCATTATCATTTGCATCATGCCATCCAGGTGAATAGATCTTTGCACTACAGAAAGGCAGATCCTTTTCCTGAGGATCCTTTTGAAGTCCAAAACTTTGCACAAGGGAGACAACAAAGGGATGGGAGGGAGGTGGGGGTAGGGCAGTGAGGACTAAGGCCATCGTGCCCGAGGATTCCCAAAGGAGGTGGGTTTTGAGAAAGGACTTGAAGGAAGAGAGAGGTGTTTTAGTAAGTGTTCTGGGAAGTATATGAAAGATGCATACATTCTGGGAGGTTGTTCCAGGCATTGGGGGCATCAGCAGGTAAAACTGAAAGGCCAAGAGAGCAAGAGACCTTCAGGTTGCTCAGATTGGTGGGGAGCAAGGAGCGAAAGTCTAAAGCAGGGTTCCTTTTCTTGCACACACAAAGCAAAAGATCTTTGTGTTGTGATGTCAGCCCATGCCAAAACAAACATCTGCAAAGCAGTGTTCCCTCTAAGCTGAGTTAGTGTGAGCTAGCTCACAGTTTTTTAGCCTCCGGCTCACACATTTTTGCCTTAGCTCAGGAAGGAGGGCCCCAGAGCCAAACTAATTGATGCAGCAGCCAAATTGCTCGCTCACAACTTGAATGCCAGTAGCTCGCAAAGTAGAATTTTTGCTCATAAGACTCCACAACTTAGAGGGAACCTTGCTGCATAGTATGCCAGATCTCCAGTAGCTAATCAGAAGCCCCTTTGGGCAAAAGCCCCATCTGGCCTAGCTGTCAGCTATGCTGCCATATGGTTTATAGGCCTAGGGCTCGCCTGCCTGACCTGTGTATGAGTTGGTGCCACATTCCTTTCCTCTTGCTTTTTCCCTGGTTATCTCTGACCTTGTACTCCTACCTATGTAGTATCTCCACTATAATTAACCATGAGACTAGTTTCGTTTCTCAGCCAAGGGTCGGTTACTTTTTCCCGCCCGCGGGAGCAGGGGCGATTGGCCCACAGGTGTGTGGGGGGGGACCTTTTGAATCTGCTATATTATTGTATGCTTGTCCCTGGCTAGTCATTCCTAACAGTGACCATGTTACTGCAACCATAGTACTGACAATAAAGCAAAACCTTTCTTGGAAGTGTGTGCTCCGTTGTTTGGCTGTGGGACCGTGGGTCCTGACACTAGCCCACTTTCAAGTAACACTTGGCGGTAGTGGCACACAGTAGTCTATGGGGTTCCACCCTGCGGATCTGTTCCACTAGTCAAAGCACTTTCCTCCAAAATACTGCCAGAGGAGGGCTCTTGCTGCTAGATGAAAGCACCTCTACTAGCAGAACACGTTTGTGTGATCCAGCCCAAGGTGAGGTTTGACTTGTCAGCTTTAGGAAATATTCTTGTCCCTTTTTTATTTTCAAAAATTGCTTTTAGGACAGATTTTGATGTCAGCACCTCCCGGGTTTTTTCCATTAGACTAGTTGAGTTAACTGAAGGGAAAACTATTTCTCTTGGTCCTCACCCTCTTTGGCCCTGATCCAGAATCGGAGGCCTTTTCAGTTGGCAGTAGATAGAGTAGCTCTGTGCTAAAGCAAACGACCATCGGTTTTGCTTGAACTGAACAAACTAAGTACAAGCCATCCGCCACTGTTGTGTGTTTCAGGCTTGTCTCACATTCAGAATAAGCTTTGCACTCATCACCGCTGGGATATGGATGTGCTGCAGCAGCCCTGGCCCACAGTGGATCCGGAATACGTCCAGCAGCCAGATGTAGTGGAGGTGTTGGTTCTGGTAAGTATGCGTGTGAATAGCAAGTGAAGTGTCTTGAGTGCCCCTGATGTCATGTAGCTGGAGAAGGAGTTGTTTGAGACTTTACTTATACTATTCTTGGGGACCAGGGGAGGCTCTGGGATTAGCAAGCTGATCAGGCCAGTGTGCTCTTGTACTAGCACATATGGTATCACATGGACATGCTGGTCCTCATTTTGACACTCTGGTCCAATTCATACTTTGTGGTGGCAGAGGCGTTTTCCATATTTATACTAACAAAAAGGTCACATAAAAATAGAGCTGCCTGATTTGGCCCATAACTTGTGATGCTACTCCCTTGAAATAAAATGTGCATAAAGCTCTTGAAAACCCTCATTAGGGCAAAGCTATATATTATGCTTGACACAAAACTGCCACTGAAAATGGCATCTTCGTGCCCTCCACCCAACATGGCCAATCAGCTCACCTCATGTTCTTGACATCCGCGAGCCGTGTGTTGTTGAGAGCCAGTTTGGTGTAGTGGTTAAGTGTGCGGACTCTAATCTGGCAGAACCGGGTTTGATTCCCCACTCCTCCACTTGCACCTGCTGATGTGACCTTGGGTCAGCCACAAGCTCTGGCACAGCTGTCCTTGAAAAAGAGCAGTTTGTGTCAGAGTTCTCTCAGCCCCCCCCCACCTCACAGGGTGTCTGTTGTGGGGAGGGGAAGGGAAAGGAGTTTGTAAGCCGCTCTGAGACTCCGAGTGAAGGGCGGAGTATAAATCCAATCTCTTCTTCTCTTCTTCTTCTTCTTCTTGTTCACCCCTTCACTCCATCGCTGGGTATCGCACTTGCTGGGGCTTGGAAAGGCATAGCCTGATGCTGGGTCATGGGTTAAGTGATTTTACGTATTATAGGGCTAGAGAGTCAACACAGTGGCTCCCCACACTAAGCGTAGCTTGCGATTCTTGGCCGTAGACAAGATAAGCAGGCAAAGTGTGGGTTCTAAATTTTGCTGTCAGAAAACTTCACAAGTGAATTGGCATTCTGAGCCATAGCCCCACATTTGTCTCAGCTCCTCAAGCTTTCTGGGCTAACAACGTGTAGCTTTCCTGGACAGTTGCCGTTGTATCCATGTCGGCAGACTGTGCTTATTAGTGTTTTAATGGTGAGGCCGTACCCATGGTAACATGCAGTGACAATGAACCGAGCAAGAAAGGCTAAAATGAAATTTAGCAGCAGTTTATGCAGTTGATTGGCAGTTTAAAATATCTTTTTTGGCTTATGTAATCATGAACGGCTTTGTTTCATGGTGGCAGATATGACTTGTTACAGTTTTGCAGGGCCTGTAAAACGGAGTTGTTCTGGCAGGCCTTTGGTTGTGGCGGCGGATGCCCAACCATGTTGCCTCCCTTGCTGAAAACTGCCCTGCCCATTCCATCTTTGTTCTGTCATCCAGTTAGTATTGCTGGAACTATACGAATGAATCTATTGGTTTGCCTCTTTTTTAATATTTTAAATAATCTATTGTACTGTTATAATTGGTTTTAATGGTTTTGTCACTTCTTTGTTAGACGCCCTGACCCCATTTGCGGGGAGGGCGAAATATAACTTGAACAAAATAAATAAATAAGTGGACGGGGGGGGGGGATGAAAGTGATGGCCCTCTTTAAATACCTCCTTTTGCTCTCCTTCTTTTATCTTTTCCAGATCAATAACAAACCCTGTGGTAAAGTTTGTGTACCTCAGGAAGTAGCCCGAGATGCAGAAGTAGTTCGTAAACTGGTTATTCAGAGTCAGCTGGGGTCTGAACACCTCCAAGGACGGACTGTTACCAAATTCTTCTTGTCTCCTCGAACCGCCCTCATCAACTTTCTAGTCCAGGAATAAAAGATGTATTTCTTAAAGCTTATTGCCTAATGACAGCTCCTAGAATTCATTGAAAGAAGACTGATTAAAAATAGGAAGGACATTTGTTTAAAACTAATGTCAAACTTGATGAAGAGGAGTAAAAAAGTTACTAAGAAAATGAATGCTTATCCCATCACTCTCCATGTAAAGGAAAAACCGTGATGGCACTTGAGGTACCCCTTCTAATCAGGAAAGAAAACTACTTCACAGCATTCGGCAACTTGAATAAAGATGCTACAGGGAACAGAAAAGTAAAAGAAATGGGTGAGGGGAAACGATACAAGATCTCAAATGTATGAAATCCACAAGCAATTCTACAAATATCTCTTTGACAACGTTTTTGAAATGCTGCAAGACAACAGACTTTTTATCAATGTTGAACCAGTTGTATGTCAGTGTTGCAAGGATCCTTTGTTGAATAATAACATATAACTCAACAATAAACAACTAGCAATCATGGTCGTCGTCCCCAAGCAGAAATCTGTTTTGCAATACTAAAGCAAGCGGGCTTTTTCCCAAAGTACTTCTTTCTGAAAAAACGTAAATGCAAGACTGTCAGTGGACTGTTCCAGAATCTGCATCCACGGTTAAAATCCACTGTTCTCAGTCCTATTCATGTTTGTTGAGTAGCCAGCCTAAATTCCCAATAAAATATTTTTTCTACCATCTTGCTTATTCAGTGCCTGCTGCATTTTCACTAGTTCCCACAGATCTGTCCATCCTGAATAAGCGAAAGGAAATTACTGCTGAGCACGAATAAAAAGAACCTGACTTAAATTATTAGCTCCCTGTTTCAAAGTGCTGATAATAGATCAAGTCCAAATACTGCAGTGCTGGCAAGGGGCACCCATTCATGCCAGTTTCGATCTTTTGTTCTGCTGTAACTCTCACACAGCTCTAGATGTTTGGTTAGAATGAAAGCTGTTATCTTGTCAGTGAACTTTATAACGTGGAAATAAAAAATGAGGTGTGTTTTCAAGTTATGTGGCTTCAATGATGGACTTCCGCAGTGTACACAATAATTCCCATGGACCAGTGCGGCACAGTTGGTTAATACAATAAGTCAACTGTTCTGGGCATAGGACATCTTTATATTATGGAATTAAATTGGGACAGGCTAAAAATTCCTGACTTCATTATGGTTTTTTGTGAGCAATATTATTAGACCATTGACAGAACTGAATGTGTGATCTTTGCTTTTTACAGTTCAGAAACTTTAAGCTATATATAGATCATAAATCAGCTGCAAATTTTGACAGTTTGGAGACCAGACCAGCCGCAAAATGTATGGCCAACATTTCTTAATGCAAGTGTACAAACTTGATTATTATTAGTTATTATTTCTTAGAGAAGCTATCAGAAACACCATCATAGTGACTGATTCTTGCTGACGAAATAAAAGAGATCCCATTTCATAGCTGTAGTTTAACACAATAGTAAAGTCTTGCAAACACCTCTAGTCAAATTTGAGCTTGGCTTCTCATGTTTTTGGACTACTTAAAAAAAATTAAAGCGTGGCTTCGTGGGGCATCTGTTAGGGGGAATTGATGGAGGCAGATGTATATAATGTCTTCCCTGACTGCTTTGTCCAGGATTGTAAGTCACATAGTGGAACTTTATCATTCTCAAAAATTGACAGGAAGGATACAGCAGAGGCCAAGGATCCTCTGTTGCAGCTGAAAACCTTGAATCTTTTCCCCAACTGAAACACTGAAAGGCAGTGCAAACTAATTTGCAGGCCAAAGAAAACTGTCAGCATAAAAATGAAGGGACTGAAGAAATCTAGGAAGTGATATTTCACAAGTGACAGCCCTCTTAAATTCCATTCATGCACAGCTTAATTAAATAAGTGCTTCACTTAAGGAGACTACTACTTTTCCTCATGCATTCATGGAGCTCGGTCGTATCCTACAAGAGGAGGTGCAGGCGTTGTAGCAGGCTGAAAAGAGAGTGGAGAAGAGAAGAGACTGGATTTATACCCTGCTTTTCACTTGGAGTCTCAGAGTGGCTTACAAACTCCTTCCCTTCCCTTCCCCATAACAGACACCCTGTGAGGTAGGTGGGGCTGAGAGAGCTCTTTCAAGAACTGCCCTTTCAAGGACAGCTCTGACAGGACTATTGCCTGTCCAAGGTCATCCAGCAGCTGCAAGTAGAGGAGTGGGGATCTAAAGCAGAGGATCCGGAAAATTGGGAGAAGCTGCAATCTCACTTTTGCAGGTGAAGAAGGTAGAGGGCTCAGATCCAGATTTCTTAGCTTATTGGCTTAGGTCAGTTAAGGAATATAGGGAATGGAGTACTTCCTGCAGTAGAAAAAGTTCATCCATCAGGGATCTAAGCAATGATTTACACTATTAAGTTTATGCATTATGAAATAAAGGAAAAAATCATAGCAAGTGACGCTCTCTTAAGAAACTAGGATTCCCCCATTATTATGGTGACACGTGAAGACGAGTTGCTACATGTTACGACCAGTAGTGAGAGAACAGCAGTACCTCCATTAACAGGGAGATCTTTTTTTAAAAAAAAAAAAGAAAGACCTGATAAAGAAGACAGCTGTGCTGCATCCAGGAAGAAACATGGTAAAAGGGCAGCAGACGCAAGAGCAAATGAGCAACAGGAATATTGAGCCAGATGGTAGTAGTCTTATCTTTGGAATAATACTTTGACATCAGAGTTTTATCTTTGCGTGCTACAGAGCACATAGTTGGGTTTTTCTCTCTACCATCTTGCAGGAATTGCAACTGGTTGGGGGTAGATGTAAAGGTGAGTCAAATTTCTTTAAAATTTTGAAATGTTGAGTTTTGAGACACCTCAATTTGCTGGGTGTTTTTTATGGGAAGGGTATGGAAAGAGGGTGTTTGGATTGCCATTGATTTTTTGTTAACTTCATTTTTTCTGAAGTTAATAAATATATGGATATGATAGTAGCCCTAAGGGAGAAAGATTGTCAGCTGTTGATCTTTTAAACCAAGGCTGATTAGAAAACAATCCAGCCTTTTAAGACATGCACTTTACTTATCTTTGAAAAGAAATGTAACATAGTTTTATCATTTGATATCAGCGGTTTACATCCAAATATAAAAGGAAGAAAATATTGAACTCCTTAGGTAAGGAAAGGAAAATAGACCAAGTAGTGCTACAGGAAACACACCAGAGAAAAACCTGCTCTTCTAAGTAAAGAGAAGTAACTGATCTGTGTTTGAATAACTTACTAATATTTCTTAATACATCTTTAGTTTACCCCAAAAGCAGGTTTCCATGTCGAAAGGTCACTTGTTAAGTAAAACAGTCACCACAAACCCTGTAGTCAGAACAAAGTGTTTATACATACCGTATGTTTAAACCACTGGAAGGATTCCAAGAAAGGGAGCTTCCCCCTGGGAGTAAATTTGAACTGTGTTCTCTGAAAGCCTGGACAAAGGAATAATGCGACATCTAGAGATGCAAACAGACTCAGGAAATCTGTATCATCTCACCTTACAGAGGGAATTGCACTCAGAGGAAAAAGGGTTACTCCTGTTATTCACCAGTCCATACTAGCATTTACTCGCAAACAGGTCTGTTGCTTGCATCATAGAATATTCTGGCTGATTTATGTTCAGACCTGTATAGGCAGTCTTCTTTCATCAGATTAAGATTGTATTTTAGGCACTACAGAATATCTTCAGATGGGACCAGGTCAACCTCTTTGTTATTATTTCTGGTTTATTATATTTTATCTTAAACCCAAAGATTGTACTATAAGCATCATATTGTATTTGAAGAAAGGAAGCTTCTGGGTGAACATAAGAACATAAGAGACGCCAATGTTGGATCAGGCCAAAGGCCCATCCAGTCCAACACTCTGGGTCACACAGTGGCCAAAAATACCAGGTGGCATCAGGAGGTCCACCAGTGGGGCCAGGACATTAGAAGCCCTCCCACTGTTAACCCCCCCCCCCCAAGCTCCAAGAAGACAGAGCATCACTTACCTTATGGCTAATAGCTTATGGTGACATAATGGACAGTATTATCAGCGATCAATCTCCATCTTAGGTCAGGGCGGCTAACAGACGGCCATGCCGAGATTAAAATATAAAACAGATTTTAGAAACTGTCCAGAGTACATTTTCTTTACCAATGGCTGAGCCTCTTGGAAGTATTTAGGGGCCCATTAGTGGGTTCCAGACTAAAATTTCTGTGTAATCTCTGTCAGTTTCCTCTTCCTGATTTGCCCTCATGCTATTCCTAAAGATCTCCTGTTCTGCTTGGATAGCATCTTGCAAAGGGAGGCAGGAAAGTTCTTCTCTGCTGGTTAAAGAGCCTTCAGTTAGCAGAAAATTTAGTCTGGACACAACAACCCTGTATTAGTAAAAATGAGACTGACATTAAAAGAAAAGCATGGTATAAAATTTGTTAAATGCATTCTGACTACTGAATGGCATAGTCTGTATTCAATGGCCCCGGTCACATGGGCCGGATATCACGGGGGGGGAGGCGTGGCTGTTTGCCCCGCAGGGAAATAACGTGTGACTGTGCGATCAGGCGTCCCCTCGCGGTCCTGTTGAGGTCCCATGGTTAGGGGGAAGGTGTTGATCACACAACGCGCCAAAGAAGCGGCGCGGCATGGCAAACGGGGTTGTGTTTTGTTTTTTTTAACTGGAAGTATGTGCATGCCTCGTTGGGTGCTTGTGCGCATCCCTGGAGATTTCGGGGGGAAAAACCTTTTTGCAATGGGGCATGGGCAGGCACCGGATGCCACCGGAAACGCAATCAGATGCCCACCCTTACTCTGCGGTTTTCAGAAACTAGTACCTCCGAGGTACTAGTTTTTTGCTGCGCATCTTCGGCGGGAAGCCTCGGTTGAGCCACGGGAGCTCTACGCTTCCCAGATGTGGCGGTGAGATCGTGCCCGGAAAATCCGCCTATCTTCCGTGTCTCTAGCGTGGCTAATGCTCCGTGTGACCGGGGCCTATATTTGGCAAAATACAAAGCAACTTCTGATCTCTGGGGGAAATCCTGGTTGCTCTGAATATTGCTAATTTGATTCATTATGGGCACAATTACACTTTAAGAGACTTCTTTTTTTTTTCTCGGTACAGGAATCTCAAAATCTCAAAATCATAAAAATAATACAGTGCACTTTAAAAGTTCATTAAAACAAAACGGGCCTTTAGGCTGTAAAGGTCACCCACTGTGCGGTACACATTGCATATAATACAGTAAACTGTGGTAAATTTTGCAGCACGTGCACACTGTGAGTGAAGGAATCACTGTATGCAATATGATTATACCATCTCTCATTCCCTTTGGTGTGTGGCTATAAAGATCAGGAGCCAGATGTAATACTCCCACAGAGTATTTCTGTATATGTTTAGGAATGCCCCCACAGTACCTTACATGACTATGATACAGATTCCTTCATACAGTGTGCATATTATATTAAATTGGGGCCACTGAAGAAGGCCCTTTTGCCTGAAATGCATCAAGTACAACTTGTTTCCAATCAGTGCTGCAAAGCCAGTTTGGTGTAGTGGTTAAGTGTGCAGACTCTATTCTGGGAGAACTGGGTTTGACTCCCGACACCTCCACTTGCAGCTGCTGGATGACCTTGGGCAAGCCATAGTTCTGTCAGAGCTGTCCTTGAAAGAGCAGTTTCTCTCAGAGCTCTCTCAGCCCCGTCTACCTCACAGGGTGTCTGTTGTGGGGAGGGGAAGGGAAAGGAGTTTGTAAGGCTCCAAGTTGAAGGGCACGTATAAATCCAATCTCTTCTGCTTATACTGTATTATATAGTGTGTATACTGCAAAGTGTGCTACTAATTGTACATACAATAGAATACTTTACTGTATGGTGTGTATACTGTAATCTATACCGTATTATATGCAGTATTATTTTACTGTATATTA